TTTTGTTTTCTTGTATTTTATCGCTCTGCTGACCCTTGGGGTCCATTTTATTTTGGTATACCTTTTCTAGGTACGTTAGCCTGTGACCACGGAAATTGGCCGAGTCAAGTGATGGATTAGTACGGAGAGATTGAGACAGAAGGAGGTACTGGATAGAGAGACCGGGATGGTTTTTAATGTGAAGACAACAACAACAACAACAACAATACGGTTTAATGTGAAGTCAACAACAACAACAAAGTGGGAAGGCAGCTTTGCACTTGCACCCAGGGATGGAACTGTCTGCACCATCCAATCAGCAGGCGTCGTTCCCTCTTTTCTTACATTTCAGAAATTCGCAAGAACGACCAATTTTCTGTGTGTGGTAAGGGGGTGAAAGTGGTACACGTACAGCAGTGTATAAACTCGATCGACTTCAACATAATTCAAGACATGCAGGCTGCATCACCCCCATCTTGCAACGGATGCTCTGAAACGCCACGAATAATAGCGCACAGCAAAGCACCGATCGACTTGGTTTTGTTGTTGAGACGCCTGTTCTTCTGCGTGGAGGAACTGAGCTGTGATTCTGCTGTGATCATTCACGGGCTTTTACGCCCTCTGATTGGTCGAGGGTTTTGGCGAGCGGTCGAGCCTCATCTCTCCAGTCCCCGTTCCGGTGCAGCCGCGTTTTTTTAGCACAGTTCACGGCGGTTAGGCCGTGCGTTAGGCCATGGGTGAGGGTGAGGGTGAGGGTGAGGGTTAGGGTTGGGTTGGGTTGGCCACGGTGTGTGACACATCCCACATGCATGTCTGATGTGGTATGCATACAAATCGCTAGAGGTGGATTAGGTAGGTGGATGGGGCGGGGGTCCGTAGTTGTGATTAGGAGGATGTGTACGTTTGCGGGGATAACAAGAACCAAACCGCCTCGCGAACCGCGAACTCCAGCGCGACAGACGCTACGACGTTATGACGCTACAGCTGCCTCGGTGCCCCACCACCGACTCTACTGCAGTGCTGTGGCATTACCACCGCTGCGCCCGGCACCCTCTTCCCTCTTGTGTGGATATTTGCACACTAGGTCCTGCCTACACAGCTTAGCATATTTGCCGGGAATCAAGCGGGAGACCTACCTGCCAGCGCGTGATCATGCTGATCGCTAGAGCGATGTTGGCCAAGATTCGCCCACCGCCGCTGAACCCTAGGGAGATACAGAATCAAGTTGACATTTCGCGTGCAGCGGGGCTAACGGCTGCTTATGCTGCTCAGCAGCAGCAGGGTGAGCAATCGCCCTGCTCTTTCGACCAGCTAGAGAAGGAAATAGCAGCACTTAAACCGCTCGAGAGGAAGCGTAGAGCGCAAAGGGCCATCAACGACCAGGTCAGTCTTGAACCAATCTCCGCTGCCGTTGTCAAACCAACGGTGACGCCGAGATAGGTGTCTCCTCGAGACCCTCATGCAGTGGGAACTGTACTTTTAGACGCTTTACCGCTGATTGGTGGGCCGGGTTGCTGTTTCCCATCTTCTCTGGCGATGGAAGCTCTGTCGTTGAGGTGGATTATGTCATCCTTACGAACGCTACTGCGGTAGTACTCATGTGTGGTTTGAGAGCGAGAAAGTGTGCAAGTGACCGTTCCACAGGCGTGGATCCTCGGGGTATCTCCCGACGTGTCTTTGGTAGTTGGAATTGTTCCGAGTTGCGGAAAGTCTATGCGTCTTTACGTCGGTGAATTTCTTGGGACTGCTTGTTGCTTGATGCTTTGTGGCGCACGAGGCGCCCACTCTCTCCTGTTCCTTGCATACGAGGGCAACCTAATAAACGACTTTACCATCTCTTCATTCCTGTCAACCGGGTCAGCCGTGCTTATCCAGCAGCACTAGGCTTGAAACCAATCAACAAGCCCTTGAAATTCTCCCGTGCAAAGGACATCACCTAGCACAGCCGGGTTCAGCAACAACCAAAGATCGTGCCACGATGGCATGTGTGCTACTCTTCGCCACGCAGCCATCTTCGGAGGTTCAAGCATACCCGGTGGACCCTTGCGACCTGACCAAAGTCCAGGAGTCGTTCGGCGGGGTGTGGCACTACTTGAGCAACGTGTGTGCAGACAAACACCTACATATGCAAGCTAACTCATAATCCTCGCGTGCCTCCCCCCTCTCCTGGATGAAGGTGGTGACATACTTTACTCTCGTCCACGCGGCACACACCGCAACCCCGCCCCCTACTGTCGACATCAACGGCGGCAACAGCGTTGCTCTGCGTAAGGACCAAGACTCCCCGTCCTCCGACGGCAGCGCCACCGACACGCCGTTGGCCTTGCGAGGCACATCGCTCTCAGGCGTCGAAGAGAAGAAAGCAGAGAAGGCGGCCGAGGGCAAAGCTGTCAAGAGGTGGAGGCGAAAACTTTTGAAGGAGATGTTACGGTCGGAGTTAGGTTTCAATACCGTGGTGAAGGACTCCACCTTGTCGGGAGCAGGACTCGGCCTGTTCGTGGAGGGCTCTGCTCCAGAAGGCGCCGTTGTGGCGATCTATCCGGTGAGCCATGTTTGCAAGATTCAACGTCTCAGTAAAATCAGATACCTCTCCTCCCGAAGACAAAGCATGCAGACACCTCTGCTCCCTGCCGCGTTGTCGCTAATCGCCCCTTTGCCCGCCCGAACACCAAGTGAATTATCACTTCCGCGCTGTACAGTCTGTAGCAAATGTGTTTCAATGCAAAGGCTTCTAGGCCCGTCCTCGATCCAGCGCTCTGCGTTTGCTCCCCCCTCCCTCACCTCCCATCCGAAGGGCCTCGTGCACCTGCCCGAACACCTGCAGAACCAGAAATACGTAGCCTCTCTCCTCCCTGACGAGGATCACTTCCTCATGGGACGAGCCGACGGGTGTCTCGTGGACGGACGTACGGCGGGGTTGCTGCCGTCCTCTCCGCTGACGTTCGCTCACGCGGCGAACCACCCACCGGAGGGTCAGGCGGCCAACGTTCTGCAGGTAGCGTACGACTTCCCGGCACTAAGCGAGGACGATGTGGGGATCGCCAAGGGGGGCAGGTTCCCGGAGCGGTTGCGGCCGCTGGTGCCGAACCGGTGAGTTTTTTCGTTCGACAAGAACAAACGTGCATTTTAGGTGGAGATGAGCGTTTTGAAAGAACAAGAGTACAGTTGAGACTTCACACCGTATCTGGGCCTCTAAACGAGTCTAACGTCGTGTTGCTTATCTCGTTTTAACAATAGTACAAACGTAAAGATGAGGACCACCCCAACATTTCCAGCGAGGGACTGTCGGGAAAGGTTCTTGGCATGTTCAGCTAGCCCTCTTTGTTCAAGAAATATTGGGACAAGTGGGGCCCCCTGGTTTGCATAGGAATTCACGTACGGTGCATGCATTGCCGTCATGTGCACAATAACTTCGGTGTCTGCCGCTGTTTGTTTTGCTGTTTTATCCTCCTGGGGGTCGCAGAGATAATGAGTCTCTTCGAAGCTTAAGTTGCCGTGGTTGATTGCCAAACCACACTGCGGGCGGACGTTCAGGAGGACCCGCGTTTCGACTTTCCTCTCTCTTGCCTTTTTTAGTATACACCCCCGTTGCAACAATATCTCATGTACGCTATGGATCCACCAGCACTGATATTGACTGATCGACATCGACCTGACCGATCGATTGTAAGCATCTCACCCTGGAAATATATTCCGTGGCAGGTATCACCGCGCACCCAAAGCGTTGTTTGGGGGCAAGCTCGACCAGTCCGCGATGGTGGAAACCGTCGTTCTCGTCGCCTGCAGGGGAGGGCTTCACGACCAAGAGGTACGTTCATTTTCCATGCACCCTGCAATAATGTGGTATGTCGCAAAACAAGAGCAAAATCTTGTCACACTTACGTGCATCAATTTATTACTAATAGAATCCTTACCTTTTTTGTTTGACTTGCCCCACGCCCTGCTTCGTACGACCCTTCGCACGACGCTTTTAGTCGTCTTCAATATTCCGTGACTCTGTTGCTCGTATCTTCCCTCCCACTTTTCCGAACCGTTGTTGTTCACCATGCATGACACATGTTCAACTGGTGTCCCCCTTTTGGCGTGGGTGGTATGTTTGTTCCGAAGGCGGTAGTGAGGAGGAGGCTGTGAATGGCGGGGGCACTGCCGGGTACGGTACCATTCAACAACCCCACCTATTCCTGTCTTTCGTCGCACCCCCTCAAGAGATCTCGATTACGGTCGCAATCTTCAACATCACTAACTCCACCCATGCTCCCCCGCACCCAGGTCTTCATGGACTACCGGTTTAATCCCAATATGCCGCATCCCGATTGGTATAGCCCGGTGGACCCCGAAGCAACCGCCAAGATGTGGGCCGTCGACAAGCAAGATAGCACCGCGCAGACGCTGTTGAACAATTCTTGGTATGCGGCACCTGGTGGCAAGCGTTTTGTTTTCCTTTATCTTGAGCTATTGTGGCACGCCGCAGCACGCCGCAATGCAGTGAGGAAGGGCGGTGCGAGTGGAGCCTCCCGATTCGTTCGATTGGTCCATGTGATAGGACGTGTTCCACGTTTGCGTGGATCAAGAGCTATTTTGCATGGACAAGATAGCGTTCATCGGCTGCGGCCTTCATCTTGCTGCTTGCTGCTTATAACTGTGCCACATTTCGGGGGAGACCCGTGTCCACCAGAGAAACGATCGTTGTATTCATGTGTGAATGCTGGTTGCTGTTGCGTATGTCTACAACTCGTGAGCAAACGACAGAGAACATATCTCGTAGAAAACCACATAGACTACCATAAGTCGAGGTAAGCCTGTCAACTATTTCAAGTAAACCTCATCTCCCGGTGCACTGCTGTCGGTGTTTGTGCAACACCAGGTTCCGACGACGTTCCTGACCTGGATAACCCACAAAGGCGGCGGACCACTGAAAGGTGGCAGACATCACTCGTGGTGGCTGTTGTCTCGTATTGCACTAGTTGGAGTTGATGCACCGAAGAAGGCGAGCTAGAGGGAGACAGGTGCACGAAAGGCGGACCTAACCGCGACAAATGTGGGCAGATATTGGCCCTGCGGTAATAGCAAGTAGTGCTCCCCGCGTTCGTCCTACCACCTTAGCAGTACGACAGCCATAGCGCCATGGATGCCGGCAGAAAGGCCGGCGTCCTTCCAATTCCTCGTTTCACCTTCCTTGCTACGGCTACCTGTCCGATCACTTGCATCCATGCCTTGACCGACGGAAACATCGTGGAACAAGCAAGGCTATTTCGGGTCCGCAACATGACGAAGACATCCACTGCTGCTGCTGCTACTGCTTCCAACGCGGCTAGCGCTGCTGCTGCTGCTGCTGCTGCGTAATACGGGCTTCCCTCCATGCGCATATACATCCCAAGACGAAAGTGTGCCCACATCCGTTGTCACGGTAGCTGTTGCGCCAATTATTGGCAGGACAACCACGACAACACGGTACAAGGCGTTGAGACACTGGTACGTGGTGACGCGTCCAACGCAGGGACACCAACAACATTATCGTCATTCTCTTCGGACTCAATGCGGCCCGCCGTGTTTTTCAAAGATCGTGTGTCAGGTAGCTGTGGGACGTTCTTACGGCTTCAAACGAGGCCGTCCCTGGCCCACAGACTGCCGCGAAGGCAAAACTCGGAGAAGAGGCATTTCGCAACTACAGGACGTTCAAGGAGCATTGCGGGTTCTAATCACAAACGCTTATTCATCCGTTGCATACCTTCACACTTGTGGGGGTGGGGACTCGCATTTTCACACGACATGCCTCGTTCATCAACTATCCAGCCGAAATCCGTAGCAAGATCATTCGCCGCTCCACGCCTGCTACTGCCCTCTCAGAGCTGTGAATGTGACGCACCTCAAACTATGTAATTCGAAGAACGTACAAGCGAGATGCAACAAACGTGGTACCACGTAGCAGATTGTTCATGAACACACTCAAGAGCTTGAGAATAAACTATTGCAAGCCGGTCGGACACCTCCTACCCAGGCCAACACCATAGAAAGCCAAGCATACGGGTACAAACAGTTATCGCCGCTATTGAAGCACCACCGGCTTTACCAAGCTCTCACTTGTTCCGGTTCAGACACCGAAACCACATGCGCAGTATGTCAGCCACAGCGCAAAGCGCAACCGATCCAATACAGCAGGCCTGCTGGAACGGGTGGGTTAGCTCAGCTCAAGACCACCCAAGAAGAAACAAAAGCGTTTCGACTGGACGTCCGTTCGCAATCGTGAGAGGTTTGCAAGTGCTGTCATTCCTCCGAACAAATGATTTGACCCACGAGACATCTTGGCGCCAGTAGAAAATGAGTACTTCCCAAAAGCCACCGACGTCACCAACGGCCTAGCGTAGAACCATCTACCGCAGCAAACGAGACTGCGCAAAACGGGGAAAGTACAAGCTCCCACGCTAGTCCAAGTGGCGTGCTTTGGTCATCGATTTCACTCCACTGGTTCACCACGCCGGAAACATGAAGGCCTGGAGAAGCGGCACGACTTCCAGTTGTCGCCCGTCTGAGAATATCTCCATCACCGCAGCAGCGTCTGAAACCTAAATAAGTAGAATAAATAGAATCGCAATTGAGAACGTCAGTCGGTCAGGTTCGTGCAAAACACTACGAATCGGCGTCCCATATTTACCATCTACATATCTGCTGCATGAAAATCACAATCGTCGGATATGGGAGCACGGAGAGAGAGAGAGAGAGAGAGCTGCATGAAAATCACAATCGTCGGATATGGGAGCGCACCGTGGATTACATGGAGAGAGAGAGAGAGAGAGAGAGAGAGAGAGAGAGAGAGAGAGAGA